GTAGGAAGAAAAGAAAATCACAACTGGTCCGGAAATAATCTGAAATAAATCCCGAAAACAGCGAGGCAACGAACCAAAAAATACTAAATTTTGTCTAGAAAGTAAAAAATTAGATAGATAGATAGATAGATAGATAGATAGATAGATAGATAGATAGATAGATAGATAACTGGTCCCAAAATAACGGTTTGCATAATTCAGCATTATCAGTTCATGAAAGATAATATTGTGAATTTTATCATATTGGAAAATTCAGGTATTAAATAATGTAAGACACGCAAAAGATACGCAGTTATTTTATTACATATAATTAAAGATAACTCCATCGTGACATCATTTTACAAATCTCTATTTACTCCTCTAAAGCAGCTTAAATGGGTCCGGTTATATTGAGCTTCTCCATATTTTCTATAACATATATTTAAAAAACACGCTGCTCATAATCATCAGAAATTTTTTAAAAAATTAAAACATCTTTGCAGGAAGTCCTGAGAGCAGTAAGAGTGAATATTAGCGTCCAACACAAGACGTGACAAATTCATTTTCGCCGTTGTGGTTTTTTAATCATAAAATAAACATGATTTTTATTTTCTTTCGAAATGATCCCGGAGATGCTTTGATAATTATCTGTTTTAGAGAAGAAAAGAAAAATAATGTGATGGTGCAAAAAAAAAAAAACCATGAGAAAAAGAACTGAATACGTTTCAGAACCGGCTGAATGATCTATTGAACCTAAAGACGCGACTATAGGAAATACATGAAACGCAGAGTAAACGCATTAAAATCCTTCTATTATTGTGATATGTTTTATTTTATTAACATTTATTTTGATATTGTGATCCATATTTTTTTTTATTTTATAAACTATGTTTATGTATCGACCCGTTTGCGATATAATTTCAGAGGTTTCTGTGGGACTGTTTTCTAACATCATTATTATTATTATCATATCATTTTTTTATGTTTTCATATATCTTTGCGTTTGAAGACGCTCTCCATTAAAAATAAGTAAATTGCTAATTAGGAGCTGGACACTCCGCAGTGACGGTATTTAGCGAGTTTGTCGTCTTACCTTTTTGAACTCCTGTATTTATCGGAGCCCAGGAGGTTCCTTTGCTTTCTTTCAACAGATTTTCTGTTGGATCTGAAATGAAAACAGACACATTTTCAGCATCTTCATCCAGAAATTACGACAAGAGGATTTCTTGAGCAGGTGATTTTTATCACTTGTATTTCAAAATATTATGATTTAATATTTATTTAGAAGAACAAAAATCTCTTCATGGTCAGATTTTTATAAGGATAATCTAGCGAGAAGCGCAATATCTCAAGAAAGTAGAAAAATGCATTGAAAGAAACGGAGGACTGAGATTAGAGCTGCTCAAAAATGCTCTGATTTTTCTAAAATGTTGCAAACTGGAGCGCAAGGAAAAAAAATACAAATAAAACAAAATAAGGTTTAAAAATTCAAACATTGAGCTTTAAAATTCCAATTGTATCCTGGTCCATTTGCAGTCTAATGCCTGGAGCATGTCGCCTTTGCAGTCTCTGCTAGAAGCCAGGAAACGCGTCCAGGAAAAAGGATTTCCGATTTCCGACAAAAGAGCAGACGGGCTTTCAGATTGAAAAGGCTGAACAATGCTCTGGCCTGGAAACGGAGCATCATCGCCGGCAGGACACCGACACCCGGAGAAAAATGTAAAAAAATCTCGATAGATATATAAAACGGACTGTTTCTCTCATTCTTAATGGGACCAAATGACGAACCTGAGAGATACATGTTGAACATGAGGTTTCCTCCGCAGTCCTGTCTCATTGTGTTCACTTGTTCAGAAAGGGTTGGATTTCATTTCGTTGGTGGCGGAGGAAAAGATTTTTATTAAACTTTATCTCATAACTGTGATCTGGAATAAATGCGGGTAGACAGATTGAAGTTTCCAGGCAACTGTCACTGGCCCCCATCTCTGAGACAATATTCAGACAGCAATTTCCCCTGGTGCATTGCTTTAATTAAAAGAGCAATTTACCTCTGTCAGCCCGCCTGGCGCCCACAATAAAAAGAGCCCAATAGAAATTCGGCCCTTATCAATCCACCATCACAGTTTAATAAAGTTTCCGCGTTAAGATCTGAGTTTCTATGGTGAATTGAAGTGTTTGACATGGAAACCAGTTCAGATCCTCCTCACTTTTCCGCCTCTTTACCTCTCGGCAAACAACAAAGACCTATTTCATGTTGGAAAAAGAATATTTACCTTGAAAAAATACGCTTCAGTGGCCACGAGAAAACAAGAACATTTCATCCCTCCTAACCTCCTCTGTGTGGGTTTAAGGTTATATGGCCTCAATCTGGGGGTAATGAGGTCGTAACTTTAAAACCATGCCTCCTGATGCTCGTTGACGTTATCGTGTCCACTCATAATTTTATACTTCTGTGTTTTTAGAAGCAGTGGAGTGAAAAGTCCATGGGCTTTATGGCCATATGCTAGAGTCTGCGCATTTCTTCAGGCGTAAATAAGGCATTATACGGGCAACGCTGGCTGATGATAGAGCTTTATGCAACTAATAACACACATTACCTTTATTATGAAAATCCTCAGCTGGGGAACCTATTGTTTGAAAATTCAACATTCTTTAAATAGTGTGTCAAAAACGCAGTAAAAATGTACCAAAATATTTCAAATGTGGGGGTGACTTAATGTCTTTAGATATGTTCAATGTCCCTGGTTTGGTTCCAGCACATCTTGTAAAATGTGTTTTATGTTATATTAAAGCCAATACAACCAAAGCAAAAAAGACCAACAAAATCCATTTTATTAAAAACACCAAATGCAAAGACCCTGACACGTTTTCTTCGTCTTTTTCCGTCTGCAACAACAGCCTCAATGCATCATAACCTCACAGTGCAGCATATACCTGCTGTCTGTTAATAACATGGTCATAAACACAAAAGCACTTTCACTTCTGTCACTTGGCACATTTGAGCCATCTTCTTTGCCACCTCGAACAAAGATTTTAACAGATACATTGCTTTAAAAAAGGCTGGGCTCAGCGCTGCTGCCTCACAGCAACAAAGTCCTGGCTTCAAATCCACTCTTGGACTTCCTCTCACATGCCTGTTAGAATAACTGGTGATTCTAAGTTTGCCACACCGGCCATAAACTGGCAACCTGCGATATGTTCAAAGCCCCGCCCACCATGACCCTGAACTGGATATGGATGCATAAACTAGTTCATTTAATTTGCTGAAAATACATCTGGCCTTTGTAAAGATGACATCTTAGTTCATAAGATATAATCAGTCCTCTGTGCTGACTGAACTGAAAGTGAATATCTGCTTATCATTAATCATCTTTATAATGAGTCACATGACTGAGGTCGGACACGCACAAATGCACACGTGTTTATTTTTTATTCTTTAAAAAGCACCAGAGCATCAAGTGTACAGCTGTTTATTTTTATATGGTGAGTTATCACAGTCAAAGCAGACAGCTTGGAATAAAATATCAGCAAAACTGAACAGTAACATGATTTCAACCAACACCACACAC